CGGTACACCTGCGTCGGCAGCTGCGAGGCCGGGCGGAAGTGCTGGAAGAGGCCGTACTCGGCGTCGGTGAACCACAGGTCGCCCGTGCCGGGGTGCTGGCGGACGTCGTTGACGGAGGAGAAGTTGCGGCCGTTGAAGCCGACGAGCAGCGGCTGCGACTTGTTCGTGTTGACGTCAACGGCGAGCAGCTGGGAGTAGGATTCGAAGTCGCCCTCGTCGCACCACACCTGCATGGGCGGCGTGGCGGAGGTGTCGGCGCCGGGCGGGTAGTAGGAGGTGCCGCCGTTGGCCTCGGCGAGGTTGGTGAGCTGGGTGCTGGTGATGGAGAGGTCGTCGAGGGAGAGGACGGTGATGTTGATGTTGTCGGCGAGGGACTGGTAATTTGAGGAGATGTAGAGCGAGTTGTCCTTCTTGTTGTAGATGCCGCCCTCGTGGAAGGCCTGCCAGGGCAGGTCGGCGATCTTGCGGGCGGTGGCGTTGGCGCCGACGACGTCCGCGAAGGCCGGCTCGTAGGCGAGCAGCGAGATGGCCGGGGTGGAGAGGTTGGCGGCGTTGATTGAGGCGAGGTAGCCCGCGCCGCCGACGGCGAGGGCGTTGAGGTCCACGTTGACGAGAGACATTGTGGCGGCCTGGAACCAGAGGGCGATCTGCTGGAGGGAAGGGATGTTGCTGCTGGAGAGGCCGATGCCTTCGAAGAACTGGGAGAAGCCGTACCGGGAACCCTCGGCGGTAGGAGAAGAAGCAGAAGCGGTGGCGGCAGCAGCAGTAGTGTCGGCCGTGGCGGCGGCAGAGGACGCGGGATGGGAAGCTTCCTCTTTATGCTCCCGGTCACCGGCCAGGTTCAACTGCTCCGTATCCATCCGGGTGAGAAGCACCCTGCTCAAAACACTGCAGGCAGTCTCCGTTTGTGGAAACGCAATGACGTTTGAATGGGACGTCAGGCCGTTGGTGGCTCTTGTTAGCGGCGGCCGGTAAGATGGTGATGGGCGCACGCGCGGAGTCAAGGGCCGGGCTAGCTTTGTAGGGGATCGGAGACAGCAGCAACGAGCCAATATCTTGTTCGTGTCTTGGCCATGTTACCCCGCAGAGAATGTTTCTCTGCCTCTCTTTCTCCCCACAATCGGGGCCAAGACCCTTGTCCGGCACTCGACACCCATCGCGGAGAGAAGTCCGGCTTCGGAGCAGGTGGGGCTCCACGGTGCCATTGCATTTGGAGGTGCGGACAATGAGCGGACGTTTGCTTTTCCTTCTTCATATCTTGGACCCCCTTGAACCCGCTGTCCGGCAGTTACACGCGCAGCCTCCCTCATCTGAGTCAGTGCGAGCTGCACGATATTGGAGAAGGGCAAGACAGGAAAGTCGGGCAAGGAATGTGGAGGCGGAGATTTTGCTGCTCATGAACAGGGGGGCAGATCATGGACAAAGTGCGGAGATGATGCAACTCTAACCCCACAACCAGACGACTTGACAAGCAGCTGCTTGGAACGCCCCTCTTGCTCGGCATTGGTGCATGGCAACTAAGCATAACTGTGTCTTCGCTGTGGTTTCTTTGTTCATCTCAAGTCATTTGAGCGTGTTTAAACCGTTGGGTTGAGGGGATGGCAGCTAACCACACCGGATGATATGCTACATAGCGTCGTTGTGACCATGAAATCGAGCAACCCATTGATAAGTCTTTCTTCAAGATACCTATGTGACTGTATGCAAAGAAGCAAGCCTGGGCTATTTGAAGCAGCTTACGCTAGTAATTCACGTTGCATAAGGTTCAGAAAAATGAGAATAATGAGCAAAGGACTGTCGCGATTTCATCAAGATCCCTCTCAACGTTCCAGTTCCGTGCCGGAACCCCAAAGTCCGTCAGCCACAAGTTCCCCGGTGTGCCACAGCGTGGCGCTAACTGCAGGCGGCTGAAAGTGTGGCTGTGGGGAACGTGGCTCAGGCATTATCTTTAGGTTTGGCCTCAAAGCACCCGGATGAGGGGCCTCATTTCCACGAAGTCTATCAGCCGATGGAGCCACCCCGAAAACCTTGGGTTGGCCTGATAAAACTCAGAGAAAGCCATCAATGTGGTTGTGACTGGATGGCTGACTATGTATCTGGCTCATACAAAGTCTCCGCCCGTCCCGATTGAGTCTCTGCCTAGGCATCGGTTCCTTTCGCTTCACATCACCTCATCAACCCACCAAAACGATGCGACCCGTCAGTCTGTTTGTGCTTCCTCGCGAGCTTCGGGACCTCATCTATGGATTCTATGTCAGCATCGATGGCGGCTACGTTTGCGACACTGATAGCTTCATCCGAGGAAAGCTGAAAGGAGCGAAAGGAGACCGCATCCATCTGTCTCTCGTCTACACCTGCAAGCGCGTCGCGGAAGAGATGGACCGCGGCGGTCTTGCCTTGCGCCTGAATACCATCACTTTCTCGCCCATCTCCGAAGAGTCACTCGGCTGGCTTGCCGGCAGCTTCCAGAGGAAGAAGGACGCCTTGGATCGCACAAGGTTGGCAATGCTTCAAACCGTGGGGTACTGCATCCCGGACGCCGTTTACTCTGAGATGGCAACGGCATATCCGCGACTTCTGCCCTTGCTGGACCGCCTGAAGCGGGAAGGGCGTCGGTCGCCACTTGAGGCCACGCTGTTGGCCATGGAACGCCGCGGACCCTATGGCGAAGCTCCTTCGGTCTACCGCGAGTTCGTCAAGGACGTCCTCCAGAAGTCATCAACCTGCGATAGCGAATTCCAAGACGCCGTGCGGAATTACTGGCCCGAGGTCGTCGAAACGACGCCGGATCGACACGCATGGAATCCTTTTTCCATTGTATACAGCACCATCGAGCCCTGGACGATACCATCCGATACGCAGATGCGCAGGCTAGAATCAGAACTACCTGTGTACCAGAGTCATCGCGCTGGTATGACAGCCGATCGCTCAATCTACCGCTTCTCGGCTGCTGCGGCGGCCATCTACTTTTTGGAAGCCATCCCCCACGAGAACCGCACCCATCTCCGAAAAATCATCCTCGACGAGAAGAATGAAGCTGTTTCGAACCCGGAGTGCCATGCCCGAGGCCTCATACCTTTCTGTCAGCAACACCCTCTTCTCCGAATCGAACGACGTGTTTCTCTATGGAGGAACATCTTCCAAGAAGACGTCAACTATCTTGATCCAGAGCGGCGATGTGTGCTCAAAGATCGACCTACCCCTGCCTTTCTCAACTCGGACCAAATCACAGGCAACGTAGCATCTTGGATTGTAGAAGCCATGGCGCTGCTCCCTGCTGGCATGCCCGCGAAATCCTTCTCCCTCCTTCTAGACGGAGACCCTGCCCCGACGCTGTGCTCCGAGATATTCCAGTGTGTCGTTCAGCGAGACGTTGCCTGGCAGCTGGCCTGGGATATGTCTTTGAAGAAAAGATTGTTACCCGAAATCTCATGGTTTGAGAAGAAGGGCGAATCCGTTATCAGACACGGCCATTACACAAACACTGATGTTCACCAGCATCAGAGATTTCCAATTTTACGAACAGGGTTCTGGGGATATTTCTTCGAGGACTTTCCACAGGGTTTCAGCAACATTGGAAAAGAATCGTTCCCTGTGCACTGCAACTTCGACACCGGCATTGCTTGCGATGTCGAGGACATAATCATGCAGCATGGCCGGTGGGATATGCGCAAATGGGAGCAAGAATGGTTCCGACACCAGCCACCGTGGTGGGAAACAGCACCACCACTGCCGGAGTGGATGGCTCTTTTGGAAGAAAATGTCATGGAAGACATGAAATACATGCCATATTTGAATCGTATGAATGAATTATTGGCATAGAGTGGTTAGGAAGGAATCGGTGAGTGGCCCTCTCATGCTTTTCACAAAGCACGTCGTAGGGCGCATGGGTAGGAGCTTCATGTAATCAAGGTAATGTACTTAATGAGAGAGCCGAAGGTGAGTGAGTAGACTTGACGTTGAAACCGCCTTGAATTCTCTCCAGCAAGTGGCAACAATCCTGGTGACATTCGTTCGTGAAGCAATTGCAATATCTCAAGCCATAGCCACTTCCATGATGGCAACGCAGAAGGCAAGAGCAGGAGGAACTTTCTCTTTGGAAAAGGTCGGACAGGCTATCACCGGCTTAATATGTATTGGGTGCTATGAACTATCGCAACCTGAGAAGGAGCAGCAGATGGGAGAGAAATTGAACCATTCGTCATGTAATTTTCCATCCGTTCTATACCGCAGCGAAGGACAAACTTGAAAGATGAGAAGTAGTCAAGGCGAGGTTTATCGCCATAGACTTACTGCCATAGATGGAATATACTGAGTTCCTCTCCCCAAGAAAGACTTTTCCCACCACTCAATGGATCAGATTGTGAGGCAGGAGCCATCTTTAAGCGAGAGATGTGACGTCAGTGTAACCGTGGTGATGTCTTTCAGCAGCAGCTCAGCCATGCTGCCTTTCTCCACCCGCCCTTTGCTGCCTGAACCACCACCACCCACCAACTCTCTGAATCTAGCAAGAGCTCACCCGACTTGCCTTCTTCCTTCTCTTTCTTGATCGAACCACACTAGTCCGCGCACAAAAAGATTTAAATCAAAACAAAAAAAAGAAGCTGAACCGAAGACAAGCGAGACGAAATCCTGCCCAGCCCTATACGCCTTCAGCCGACCGCCCTGCCGCCCTTCGACCTATACCCTCTCTCTCAGATGACGCGTCCTCCAACTTTGCTCTTCTTCCTTTTCACCCACACACAAACCTTTCCAACCTTTCTCTTTCACACACCACAACAACCACTTCCTTCAACCACTACCTTCAACCACTACCACAAAAAACAGCCATCACCACTTCAACCTTTCACAACTTCACCCTTCAACCAAACCAAACCCCCTTCACAACTAGTCAAGATGAACGTAAGTCCTCATTCCACTCCCTATTCTCACCTCTTCACACAATCTCACAATCTCTCCAGGGTTTCACTGCCACCGCTATCCTCGCCTTCACTGGCACCATGGCCAACCTCGTTGCTGGCGCTCCCGCTATCGAGGCCAACGGCACCCGCCGCAAGCTCACTACTACCTCTACCCCCACTGTCACCACCGCCACTGATCGCTGGACCTTTGGCTGGCCCTCTGGTCTCCCTGTCCCCATCCTGACCACCATCCGCCCCGAGGAGCCCACCTTCACCCCCACTCAGGTGCAGTCGTACAGCACCGTCCTCCACACCCGCAAGAAGCTTCCCCAGACCACCTCCACCGCCGATGTTGACGTCGAGATTGAGTACGTCACCGTCACCCAGGTCGTCGAAGTCCCCGTCACCACCGTTGGCGTCTAAGCTTCTTTCTCACACAAGCATGGTCTGGTATTTGGGAACTTTCTCGATTTGGCAGGTGTTTTCAAGGACAGGGCAAGGAACATTGGGAAACGCAAGTTGGTAACAATACCCCGGACTTGGCTTTTGGCGTTGCGCGGAGGGCTGGAACATATGGGCCTTGGTCTTTCTTTCTTTCACTTTTCTTCTTTCTTCTTGGGGATGGGAAACACTTGGCACCCTCTTGGAAGGGCTGGACATGCAGCATGGGTTTGGCTTTGGGATTAGGCATATGAGATTCTGCAGCTGAGGCTGCAAAGACACAATGAGATCACTCTGACACACACTTCTTGACCACCTTTGTGATGCTTTATGACTCTGTGGATGCTTTCTGTTCATGACACTGTGAATGTGTCTGTTCTGCTGCGCTCTTGTTCGCCGCTTTGTGACCATTTGAAGCCATGCTCTGTGAGGAAGTTGTGATTGGGAAGTTGTGATGCAATTTATTTTGGTAGGTCTACGCTGCTTGCTGCTATAGCTCATGAGGCAGATTCTTCTACCTCATGCTGCGAAGTTTACTGAGGCTTTTCATATACGATCACGACCTAGCGACCCGGATTCCTTCTCATAAAATTCGTCGCATTTTTGCTGTCTGCGACACATCTGCAGAGAAGAATTTATCCTCGTAAACGATCATAGCTGATGCCTTTTGGAAGCGATTAAATTCGAAACCGGTTGACGATATTGTCGTAGACTTTGACACTGTAGCTGCCACCGTTATGAATGAGGTCTGCGGCGCACTTGTCGACTCGAAGAAACATCCGCGAAGAACTTCATTCGGTAGTACGCAACAGTCGGTCGCTTGCTCTCACTCGAACGATACGCGGTAGTTACTCGGCGAGGAAAGCACGGCTGGCGACGCAGCCTGAAGCTGCGCTTGATGGCATTCGATAGCTGGTGAGCGGGAGACGAAGATGATTGTGATGATTCTGAGGTGAAATTTGCTTCGCTTCGGTAGCGGAAGACGTGTCTCCTACGGTGTCGAGCAGGCTGTGATGGGCTTCACATGAGGATGTGTGTCGACTGTTGTAGTGCGCAAAGGACGCAATCTTGGCGCCTGCAACAAGTTAGCTGGCTTGTATTGCGTGTGTGAGCGGTACTGGATGGTAGACGCGAAGCGCATGCTTACCTCGTTTGCACTGACGGATTAGCTCATGATTCGGTGGCAACAGCTCTGCTGTGTTCACCGCGGCACGCCTCCAACCACGCGGCTGTTGTGCTCTGCCTGGCGAATCGTCGAGGGACTGGCTCGAAGACCCTTCGCATGATGTAGTACCCAATGCCAATCTCAAGCAGTGCTGAACATATCCCACAAACTCGGAAACAACTCGTCAATATCCGGAACACTCGTGGACACGAACTCCTGAAGGTCAGGCATGTCGACGGGTTGCTCCGCAATGCTAGCGGTCGCGGTCGACGAAGCGAGCTTTTCAATGACCTCAGAGTACTGCGCGATGCAGAGATCGCCGAGATCCCAGGCCCTTTGGCGGTGCGTCTGCAGCGCGGACATCAGATCGCGCGCCAGCTTCAAGGACATACTCTGGGCTAGACCGCTGACGGTGTTCTCCGTCTCGAGCGCGCAGCGAAGCAGGAACTTTGTCGTCGACGTGAAGGCGAACGTCATTAGCGGGAGCCAGTAGTCACCCAGCTGTGGCTCTTTCAGTTCCTGCACCAGTAGAACAATTTCTTCCGCAGCACGGCGGACTTCGAGGTAGCAGCGCATCGGGATCGAGGAGGTGTGGTCGGCGCTGGCGGCTTTTTCTGCGTCGAGCTCCCATTTGCGGAGGAGAAGCTTAATGTAGAGGTATGCGAGTCGGAGATTGGCTGATCCGGGCATGTCGAGGCTATCGCCGCCGCGGATGATTCGTCTCCGGAGAGGGTTGTCGAGTGAGTCTTCCCACTTTGTCAGCAGGACCTCGAGATCCCATGGGCCGCTGGTGAAGGTCTTTTCGAGGTCGTATATGCGCTCTAGGTATTTGTCGAGGAACTGTGCTAAGGAGACGAAGGCAAGGTAAACCGACGCGGCATTGAGATCGAGGGTGCTGGCAGCTGGTCCGCAGAGTTGGTCCACTGTTGGGAGAGATACATCATGTTGACCACTCCGGAGCTGTGGGGGTGTACCGTAGGCAAGACTCGACCTGCGTATCGTCAGAACAAGTAGAACTTGCTTTAGATGAGTACCACTCACCACTTGTCGTACACAAAGATGGCCCACCATATCTTTGTCCGTAACAGCTTTTCTGATTCAGGAATATCCCAGTCGGATGGGTCTCGGTTCAAGCCGAGCGAGTGGGCCAGGGAAATGGCTGATCCCAGTTGTAGGCCATTGCCAATGATTGAGGTCAAAGGTCTTCCAGAGATGTTGAGGAGAATGCTAAGAAGCGTTGAGATGCCGGGTGACAGATGGATCTCGGAGTACAGGGCGTCGTTGGCTTGATTCCAGATGAACCTAGTGTCGGGGCGGTGGTGTTCAATGAGAGTCGGCGACTGGGCCCAGTATGTCATGGTGTGGGCATACAGGCATGAGAGCAGGGCCGGGGCGATGTGATTTCTGTCCTCGGCAAAACGTTTCTCGAATGACCCTCTGTCTAGCAAGGGGAAGCATCTATTGGGCTTCTCAAAGAATCTGTAACGACTGGTCAGAGCGGAGACCTGTGTTTTGACTGCTGGTGATTACTTACAACTCAATCACATCTGGCAGCAGGGGCTCCAAGAGCTTTTCAATGACTTGGCATTTCAAGAAAGCGGGCGTCCGGTCATTCGGGACGCCAAGAGGTTGCTTTCGCACAGTGGTGAAGACGACAGGCTTGCGACCGCTGCCGCCATGTTCTTGACGTGGGCTCGTGCCGGATATCCTCGTTCGAATACCTCGATTGAGTACAGATGAATCATTGGAAAGGTACGTTGACAGGATCTGAGTGTCCTCGATATCCGCCGGTCCGACAATGTGTGCCTCATCTTCGCCGCCTCCGGCGATGGGTTCCACGTAGTGTCGATCACGCGGGGAGCTCGGAGCCAAAGCACCGTCCGGCGACCGTGACACACCTGGAGCCGGCGGAGGTACGGTCGGCAACGGCAGTGTGCTGAGCTGAGAGACGAGAGTGGTCTCCGAGGAAAACGTTTTCTGTGGCGGAGGAGACAAGGCGCGGTGGCCCAGGTCGCTCGACTTGCGGGCTTGAGCGGTTCTCCATGCGCTCTTCGGCCGCGGCGAGGTCCCGGTGGCTGGAGCTGGAGGGAACTCGCAGGATGTGCCGTGGGCACGACATGTAAGACAACTCGACCCGGTGCGATCCACGTTACACCGGGACTTGCGCTTCCGACAGGCCAAACATGCCGGCCGGAGGTGGGAACGGTAGGGGCGCTCCGAGGGAAAGGGGACTTCGCCAGCCTCGTTCGGCATGATTCAGGCTTTCAAATTGGCGTGAAAGATGATGGGATTGGGCATTATGGCCAAAGTAAGCGGGTTGGCCGTGGATTTGGTCAACATGTTGCCTTATCTGGAGCATCGCTGATGGCGGCGCTGAGTTTCCCGAGGTGACGCTGCGAGGTTTCCCGAGGGAAAGAAGGTGGCTCGTGCACGATGCTTATCTGATTGTCATCGGCGATCAGGCGCAAACGCCGATAACAGGTATCGTCTCGCGATTTCCTCCTCCCCCTCCTCTCGACCAACAACCCCCTTGCATTATTTTCAACTGCAGAGTCTCGAATCCCAAACAAGAACGTCTTAATGCTGTCGAATGCCATCTCTCAATTACCAGCAGCCTCTCAATTCCGCAACTGCACTCGTTTCGACAGTCCACAAGGAGCTGGATTCCCATCGTAGCCATGCCTCCCGTCGACGCCTTTGCTCCTAGGAGCTCCCACTCGCACGCTCGCTCAAAGATGCACCTTCCGGTCTCTGATGTCGATTGATACTGGGAGCAGCTGTATCATAGGTAGGAATTTTCCCGAAGGACGACGATGAACAAAACGATCGCGCTCACCATTGCAGAGTGCGCAGTCCTCGAAGTTTTCCCATCCATCCAACCAAGAGAACACCAAGCTACGCAGGACAGAATCAAACGCCAGAAAAGATGCGTCTTATCGAGTGCGACCAGAAGATTGTTGGTGTGAGTTATCCCTCTACCTCCCGAAGCTGATGGCCTTGCTAACACGAAGCCAGTCAACCTTCGGTCAGGATTCAGGATAGGAGTCACTACCAAGGCTACCCATGCTCACACCAACAACCTACGCTGGACTGCATGTTCTCTTGCATGGTCTTCCCTCCTGTTATTTCCGCTGCCGAACGTATCAGTCCCTTTCTGCCGCTCGGTCTAGGCAAGTCCTCAAATCACACATCACTGTCGACGAAAGCCACGAGCTCGAATCTGGGATTCCGAATATCTTCAAGAGCAAGTTTAGCATTGTTGGCCACGGCACGGCGTTACCGTTCAGTTGGGTGTCCGGTCTCACAATGGTCGCAAAGACCAGGGGCCGACGATGCCACGCATGCGCATGCTGGGAGCTGCGAACACCTCGTGCTCCGTCTCCCGCAGTCCCGATCGAACCTATGACTAGGCAACCGGGATGGGCCAATATTGGCGGGAGACAATTCAATTGCCGTCCTGCGGCCTCCCGGCGACTTGCATCGTCGAGTGCATCCAATCCTCGGCCGGAACGCACGTCCTCCCAACGGGCTCGTCAAGGCATTAAAAAGGCGTTGCGAACGCAGAGGGATGCTCCTGACCTTGGATGAAGCACAAGACGGTACCACAAGATGCGGCGAACTCGCGAACCTCGAAGACGTCGAAGACGACGGCGTGGTCATCATGTCCACCGTGTGCATGGCAAGATGTGAGAACCGTCCCCGGTCACTGCCGTCGAAGGCGACAACATTGCAGGGTCACAACGAAAGGAACTTTTGAACTTCTAGCACCCATGTCTAGAGCCATTTACCGGCTGCAATGAGTGCCAGGGTCTTTGAGATCGTGTGGCGGGATGACCTGGTCGGGCATTCGGTGGAGTTGGGCATTTCCATGACGCTCTGAAACGACTCTAGCAGAGGCACAGTTGTACTGGCGATATTTACAACCGAGGCTTCATGGCCCGTTGCCAACAACAACTGCAAAAACCCCAACGAGCAAACGGCAGGCAATGGACGACACGGCGCGTGAAGCCGGGGGTTGAGCCAATCTCAGCAATTATTCCAGCCTTAGGGGCAAGATCGCAGGGTCGATCACGATTGTTGTGGAACAGCCTAATCATGTGCCGGGGTGCTCTCGAACAGACATTCGCCAGCACCCCGGGAACACAGCCTCTGCACTAGAGACGAACATGATTTAGCAGACGAAAATACGCCAACGAATAGCACCGAATCCTTCAACTCAATGCCGCCCAACCAGGGGCCATTTGAAATTCTTCAAGGAGGTTGACGCGTCGGAAGCATAACGATTGCATCTTGAGCAGCGTAGCATCCGGCACAACAGGGAAATATGACCGAGATCGGGGATCGCCCGTGACCCACTGCCCCTCGCAGGAGTACCCAGAAGCCGACGGATCGCCGTGGAGCACTGGAGCATACGCTTTCTTTTCTCCCGCAGACCATGCCAACATCAACATCACTTGTTAGAGCATGAATCCTGCCTTTTCCCCCCTTGCGGCTGCGTCCGTCTCCGCTGCGAGCAGGCAGGGAGGCGCATGGGACAGTCGTTCGCAGAGTCTCATGACTGACGGAAGCTTACAGGACGAGTCATCGTAGGTGCCACGCCGCCACTGGTTGCCATCCACGGTTGAGGATTCCCTGGGAAGATGAGGCCTAGCCAAGGTATTTGCTGCCGACAGGGTCCATACATGACGGAGGGAAACGTCCAAGAACTTTGAAGTGTTTATTCCAACGCAAGGCCATCAGATGGTGGCTGTTATCCCACCGGTCGAGACCGACTCAGCAGCAGTGCAGGGCCTGAAGCTTCTGCCCAGCATGTCATGACCGCATACCGCCTCCTCATTGCCAGCGTCTCATCGCCACGATTCAGAAACGCACCCTTCGTTTTCGGCAGACAGCAGCCAAAGGACCCCAGGAATATCTGCCTAGAGTTGCGGCTTAATTCCTGGATGGTGGGATGCAGAAGAAGGGATGTGGGTAGTCTACTTATTGCAACAGTCGCGAGTCAGTCTCGCCCCCAACGAATAGGAACTCAAGCCTGGCGTCCGATCTTTGGCTCCATGGCATGACGACAGGGCAAACCCATGCGCATCTCAAACTCTCCTTCCACGATCATTCTAGAACGTGACGTTTCATGCGAGTTGGACCAAAAAGGCCCCCCGCCCCCTCATCACTCACTCAACCATGGTACTGCCCATCACGTTGTCTCACTGGTTCAACCGATGGTGGCTAACCAACTTAGCGCCTGACAAAGGAGCGCACGGCAAATTCAGTCGCCGAGGAGTTCTGCTCCGCCGACGGGGATGTCGCGGTGGTGGAACCCATTACACAACGCCAGCGCCTCGCGGAGGGAGAAAAAAAGGGGTCGCAAAAACAGGGCAATTATAGGCTTGCGCTGTTGGTCCATGGCATTCTTGGCCATGGTCCGATCATGCAGAAGGAGATCTTAATGTTCAGCCCCCCGGACAATAACTCGCGAAGCCTCTCTCTTCGCCCCTGTCATCACGAATGGAGCCATCCCTCCTCCAGGACGTGCGCCAAGTCGGGACGTTAAAAAGAAAGAGGGGGCCCGCGCCAAGATAGGGCTGCCGCCGCGGCTCGCGATATTAATATCCTGTTTCCTCCTGGGCCTTTGTTTCCTGCGCAGACGGAAAAGAAAACAGAAAAAAGGCTTGGTATTGATGCCCAGCTCGTGTCTTGGCCGTGGATCGGCTTAGCTTGCCTACCAGCACAGCAACCAACCTCACGACCATGGACGCTGGCCTCGTCTTAGCCGCCGAGGGCGAGGGTGCAACACACAACGTCACGGCCGCATACCTCGCCGAAGACTCGGGCGACACGCTTATCGGTATTTCCATCGCCTTCGCCATCCTCACGACGCTGTTTCTCGGCCTGCGACTGTACGCGAAACGGTTCACAGCGGGCGGGTATGGCGTGGACGACTACTTTCTCGTGGCAGCGTACATCGTCGACCTGGGCATGTGTGCAGTGGGTATAGGTAAACTTTTCCGGGGACCGTCGTGTGATGGGGCGATGGGGAAAGTATCGCTTGGACTAACTCGTGGGTTTTTTCAGTTATGGTTCGGGTGGGCGGTGTTGGACGACATGTTGAATTCGTCGAAGAGTTTCACCCGGCACTCCTGGTCGGCTGGGCCAAGTGCATTCTGGCCTTCGAGATTGTCTACTTCGCGTCCGTGGCTCTGCCAAAGATGGGAATCGTGTGCCTGTACCTGCGCGTGTTCAACTGGAAGGGCGGAATGCGGACGACTGCGTACATCCTCTTGGCGACGCTCGCGGCGACCAGCTTGTCCTTCATCCTCACGGCGTGTTTCCAGTGCACGCCGCTGCCGTTCTGGTGGGATCGGACTATCCCCGGCGGGAAGTGCATCGACGTGCAGGCATTCTTCCACGCGCAGAGCATCCCGGGCTTCGTGTTGGACTTCTTCATCATGGCACTTCCCATGAAGACTATCTGGAGTTTGAAACTCCCCACGCATAAGAGGATAGCGTTGGTCGGAATCTTCATGGTTGGCAGTTTGTGAGTCGCTCTGGACCCTCGGATGAACTTTGACTGACATAGACGCAGCGGTGTTGTCGCATCAATTATTCGAGCAGTCACCTTCTTTGGCACCGCCGCCTTCACAGACCGCACTTGTACGTTCGCCCTCTCACTCAACAACCCCCGCAGGCAAAAACGCTGACTATGACCAGGGGCATCCGTCGCACTCGTCGGCTGGAGCATTATCGAAACCGGAACCTACATCATCGCCGCCTGCCTACCGCACCTCCGGCCCATGATCTCACACTACACGCCGCCATGGCTCAAGTCCATGGTGCGCAAGACGCTCTCGCAGGCCAGCAACTCCATGTCCAAGGTCACGACCTCGAAGCACTCCCACCCTCGCCGCGGCGACGATGAAGTCGAGCTCACGGCGCGGTCGCGAAAGCAGGCCGCCGACGCGGAGAGCGTGACCGGAGACGAAGAGCGCGGGTACGCGGGCATGCAGTCCCCCTCCGGCACGACGGTCGAGGTGCGCAAGTCGGACGAGATGGTCAGCGGCGACTGGGCGCGGCAAGGGCAGATCCGCGTGACGACAGAAGTGAAGCTCGAACGCGTACGGACGTCGGCTTTCTTGAAAGAGTAATGACCTGTGATGATTTAGTGTTGATAGTAATGAGAACCAGTCGAAAGATACGCTGCTTCACGCCATTGTGGAGATCTTGCTGCCAAGGCAGAAACCATTGTGTCGCTATTCAAATACAGGGCCCATCCCAACCGTCTTTCAATCTTTATCTTGGTTATCGACAAAGTCTACATCTTTGACCGTGCGCCTTTAGCCTCTGCAGGCCCAAGAAGCTCATCCGCGATCCCTCGTCCAGCCGCCCTCCCCGAGAAGATGCAGCCGCCCAAGAAGGTTCCCTCCAAGCTGTTGTATCCATGCACACCACCACCGCCGAACCCGGCAGCTTCACCCGCCGCGTACAAGCCAGGGAACTTCTCCCCATTGGCCTTCATGACGTTGCTCTCCAGGTTCGTCTCGATGCCGCCCAGCGTCTTGCGCGTGAGCAGGTTCATCCGCACCGCGATCAGCGGGCCGTGGGCCTTGTCGAGCAGCTTGTGCGGCACCGCGATACGGCTTCTCTTGTCCGCCCAGTACGTCCTCCCGTTGTTGATCAGCATCGCCTGCGCGTCCTTGGAGTACGCGTTGTCAAACTGCCCGTCGCGCAGCTCGATCGTCTCGCGGATGTCGTCGAGGTCCAGCACCGGCCCCCCGCGCTCGCGTTGCAGCTCGTTCATGCCCTGAACCAGCTCCGGCAGGTTATCCCGCACCACAAAGTCCTTGCCGTGCTTCTGAAAGTTCTGCACCGGCACCGTGCCCTTCTTGCCAAACACCCGCGTCAGCAGCTTCCACACGCTCTTGCCCGTCACGTCCGGGTTCTGCTCCGAGCCCGACAGCGCGAACTCGCGCGCGATGATGCTTTGGTCCAGGATGAACCAGCTGTAGTCGTACCCCGTCGCGCAGATGTGCTTCAGCGTCGCCAGCGTGTCGGTGCCCGGGAAGAGGAAGGGCGGCAGCCGCTTGCCCGTCGCGTCGAGCCACAGCGAGCTTGGCGCCGGCAGCACGCGGATCCCGTGCGCCGGCCAGATCGGATCCCAGTTCTGCAGGCCCTCCGTATAGTGCCACATGCGGTCGCGGTTGATCACGTTCGCGCCGACCTGCTCCGCGATGCCGATCATGCGCCCGTCGACGTGCGCCGGCACGCCCACGACGAAGGTCTCCGGTACCTTGGGCCCGAGCCGATCGATGGGCCACGCGGCTTTCACGGCGTCGACGTTGCCCCCGATCCCGCCTGACGTGACGGCGACCGCGGAGCCAAGTATCTCAAAGTCGCCGACGACCTCGCGCGAGGACTTGACGCCGCGGGCGGAGTTATCAGGCGCGAGGACCTTGCCGCGCACGCCGATGGCGCGGCCGGTGGCCTCGTCGGTGATGATCTCGTCGACGCGGTGGCGGAAGCGGAACTGCACGACGCCGTCTTTCGCGGCGCGCTTCACGGGCTCGGCGAAGACGCGGACGACCTCCGGGCCGGTGCCCCATGTGACGTGGAAGCGCGGGACGGAGTTGCCGTGGCCCTCGGCCTGGCCGCAGCCGCGCTCGGCCCAGCCGACGTTGAAGAGGAAGCCCATGCCGCGGGCTTTCACGTAGGCCTCCATCTCGTCGGTGGCGAAGTTGACGAAGGCCTCGGCCCAGCGGCGCGGCCAGGTGTCCTCGGTCTCGCGGTCGAACTGGGCGGAGCCGAACCAGTCGCGCATGGCGAGCTCGCGGGAGTCCTTGATGCCCATGCGGCGCTGCTCGGTGGAGTCGACGCAGAAGATGCCGCCGAGGGACCAGAAGGCCTGGCCGCCGAGGTTGGCGTCGTTCTCCTGGTCGAGGATGATGGTGGGGACGCCGCGCTCGGAGAGCTCGAAGGCGGCAACGAGGCCGGCGAGGCCGCCGCCGACGATGAGGACGGGGCGGTCCTGGAGGGCGCGCTGGGTGTCGGGGGACATGGCGGCGAAGTGGGGGCCGGCGGAGGACGGGGACTTGGAGGAGGGCCGCGCCGGGGAGCGGAGGAGGATGTGGCGGACGATGAGCTTGAGGAGCCAGGCGGAGGCGCCCAGGCCGGCGAGGGCTGCGAGGGTTTGGGACGGTGTTTGCGGGAGGGAGGAGGAGAGGAGGGACATGACGGGTGCCATCGCGGCTGGTTGTGGAGAGGTGGCGGTGGGTTGTGTGTCTGTCTTATTGCTGCTGCTGACCCGTGGTCAAATTATCCGTCTGACGGGTCTTGGCTCTCTTCGGCTGTCGAGCTGGATTGAGCTGTCAGCACCGAGTGACGCTGTGCCGCGATGGTGCTCTGGTGGAGGTTGTGGTGGGATGGATGGACGGGTTGGAGAGAGTGCGGGGAAGAGGAGATGAATTGACCAGAAAGGAAGTGCTGACAGCGAGACTGGCGTCTGGCTGCTTTTGCAGGATCCGGGCGCTTGGCGTCGCGGCCGGCGAAAAGAGGCGAGAAATGTTAGAAAGGTGAGATGAGGTACGAGGCGCAGGGGGAGGGAGGTCCGCGGAAGGCCGATCTGCGACGCCGTCTGTTCCGTCGCGTGGGGAGCTCGGGGAGTTTATTCCTCTCTTCCTGTTATCTACGGCATAGAGGGATGCCGTTTATTAATACGAGGAGCAACGATGGGCAGTTCCCTGTTGTTGCATCTGACAGGCGATGTGCTTGTGAAGATGGTGGATGATCAGGAAGAAGAAGCTCTCCATGACAGCTCTCGGTCGGCCGAACAAAAGAAGAAGCTCTGGCATCCGAAATCTGGGAAAACGCAGCTAAAAACGGCGAGCTGCAGGGGACAAAGGTGTTCAATGCTGCATCGAGTCAGCTCAGGGTCCCTGTTCTCCCCCAAGTTTCCCCATGTCTTTTCGCGTTTCTTCGTTGTGCGGGGAACCTTTCATCGTCCGAGGACCCCGGACATGCCTCGGCTTGGTCCCAGTGGCATGACACTCTCGCCATCTTCACAATCTGGAATCATATTTCACATGGTCACATCGACTAATCACCATTAACATCCTCATCAACCAAAACTCGATTGCATCAATGCGACATAATCAAGCCAGCCTAGGTTAGATTACTCTTGCACCTTGACCACAACCTTGCCAAAGTGGCCGCCGCTGTACAGGTACCGCAACGCCTCGTCCGCCTCATCAAACGCAAACACGCGGTCGACAACCGGCTTGATGCCCTTGTCCTCGTAGAACGCCACCATCTCCTCGAACCGCTCCCGCGGGCCGTTGATCAGGCCCTTGAGCGTCACCGTCTTGCGCAGCGCCAGCAGGTTGACGTTGGTCCGGTCCTCCTCCGAGTCCACCTTGCCCGAGAGGTACCCGATGCACGCGATCGTCCCGCCGAACGCGATCGCCTCGAACGACCGCCGCAGCGTCTTGGCCCCGCCCGTCTCGAGGATGATGTCCGCGCCCTCGCCGTTCGTGACGGAGTTGACTGTCTCGTCCCAGTTGGGCTGCGTGCGGTAGTTGACCGTGTAGTCCGCGCCGAGGGCCTTGGCCTTTTCGAGCTTCGCGTCCGAGGAGGACGTGATGAGGACTTGAATCATCAAAGTCAGTCTCTTCTCACCATCTCATGACATTCTTAACATACCTTTCGCCCCGGCCGCCTTGGCAATCTGCAACCCGGAGATAGCAACGCCCCCGGTCCCCTGACACACCACCACCTCCCCCTCACCTCCCGGCTGTCCCAGCGGTCGGAACTGGTTAATCGCCATCCACGCCGTCACCGCCGCAATCGGCAGACACGCCGCCTCCTCGTCGCTCAGATGCTTCGGCGCGCGCACCAGCCCCGTCGCGGGGAACACGCGGTACGTCTGTAGCACGCCCTCCAGCGGGAACCCCAGCCCGGACTTCATGTCGGCGGCCTTGATCTGGCCCGTGAGGTGCGTCTGGTTGAAGATGGACACGACGCGGTCGCCGACGGTCCAGGCGCTCACGTCCGGGCCCACGGCGGCGATGGAGCCGCACATGTCGGACGCCGGCACGAGCGGCTCCGTGGCTTCGGGGTTGATTGTCTTGTGGTGGCTGTAGAGGCCCATGGCGACCTCGGTGTCGCGGTAGTTGAAGCTGACGGCGTTGATCTTGACGAGGACTTCGTTGGGCCCCGGGGAGGGGAGGGGCGCTGTTGCGCGGAAGAGGTTGGCGAGGCCATCTTGGCGGGTTTGCCAGCGCTGGACTTCTGTAGGAGCCATCTTGGTTACTGGTGATGTGAGATGAGTGGGAGTGTTGCGAAACGTTTGTGAGGAACAGCCTTCCTTCGTGAGAAATCGTTGTCGCCTGGTCTGGATTTATGACGCACGTATTAGAAATCAGATCCGGCTTGTCTCCGCTGGCTGGTGGACTGCGGTGTGGACCGGGCGGGGACCCCGGCGATGTTCGATGTGTTTCTTGAACCCGGGGGCGGCACCGAGTCAATTGTGCCGGCGATCGTCGGCGTTCCGGGATCATTCACCGAGACATGATGCGATGTTTACGGTAGCTGTTTCCTCACGCCGACCAGCTACGTTGATGAGCGCACATTACCATGCGCCAAGTCTCGTCAGAAACAAGTAATTGACGTCTCCGATTTGTTGGAGGAAACACGGCAGAGAGCCCAGACCAAGACGTTTGTGTCCGATCAACTATTGGACCATCATTCCCTTTTCATTACAAATAACGTCGTCGTTGGATGAGCGAAAACGGGCCAACGGGCCAAAGCCAGTCAACGCTCTACATCATCGCCACCCGAGCATGCTTCTCTGCACAGAAGGCCGCAACGCTTCTTCAATCTGTCAGAGCTCCTTGAAGATATTTCCCGTGCGCGGGATTGACCACAACCGCCGGTGAAGCAGAGCCAGTACGTGACCTGCGACGCAACGTGGTGTCTAGTAATCGCGGCCCGTGGATCAGACGAAGTATGTGCCCTCAACAAAGCTTGATCAAGCACATGTGTGACACATGAAATCACAACATGAGAGCCTTTTCTGTCGCAAGTGGAGGGCTGCATTTGAAAGATACTCGTCACAAATCGCAGCCATATTGATTTCATTGGAAGCTGAAGATGACCCAAGTTGTGTTTACAAACAAAAAATAATAATGAATCTATTGAACGCCGACGAGCTCCAATCTGAGTGGCTCATTGCTATGACCATCGTCCGACCTTTCCAGATTACACATCGCCCCCCTCCCGCCAGAAACAACATGAACATGCATCTCCCAACCCCTTCCCCCGATGCTGCAAACAATTTCCCACAAAAAATGCCATATGTCCGAGTGTTTGCATCAGCTACAGCGCACAGAGCCACTCACTCTCTTGCTGTCCGTTTTCACAGCGTTTCCGTTTACGCCTTGGGGCTCACGTCAATCTCCCTCCGCCGGATCTCGACCGTCGCCTTAGCATCGGTCTCGTTGGTCAGGCCGAAGGTGGTCGTTTTCGGCTTGTAGTCGCCGCCCGTCAGGCGCCAGTCGTACTTCATGATGAGGTGGCAGAGGATGATCTTGATCTCGTTGGCGGCGAAGAACCGGCCGGGGCAAGCGTGCTAATGTATGTTAGCCATTTGCAATGCGAGATGAGTTACTAGAGAAGCAACTTACCTGGCCGTGGCCGAAACCGAGATGCTCGGGCGACGTGGACACGAAGTGGGCGGCGCCGTCGTTGCCGGCGCCGAGCCTCTCGCGCAGGCGGAGGTAGCGGTAGGCGTCGAAGCGCTGGGGGTCCGGGTAGACTTGCGAGCTCCACATTTGCTGGCAGCTGACGGTGATGCGTGCGCCGACGGGGAGCTCGAGGCCGTTGGAGAGGGTGACGGGCTTGGTGGCTTCGCGGTGCATGGCGGCTGTACACAGTGTTAGTGCAAGTCATGTAACAAGAGACCGGAGATGAACTCACCCATACTGATGGGGTTGATGCGCTGGACCTCCTTGAGGAACGAATCAAGAACCTTCATCTTGTACAGGCCCATCTTGTTCCATCCATCGGTGCGGATCACATCGCCGATCTCCTTGCGGAGAACGTCGAAGTACTCGGGGTTGCGGGCAAGATCAATCATGGACTGCGTGACAACATCGGCGGTGGTGTGAATGGCAGCAAAAGACAGGCCAAGCATCGGGACGGCAGGGTCGGCGATGGGCTCCTCAGACGCCTCCTCGCACCACTCGAGGCAGTCGTTGTACTCGGGCTCGTCCTCGCCGGCGTCCTCGGCGGCCTTCTTCGCCTGGCGGCGCTTTTCCACAATGGGGTTGATGATGCGGCGCGCGTCGTTCATCTGGCCCTGCAGCTTCCAGCTGAAGGGGTTGAGCTGGTGGACGACAAAGCGGATGGACTTGGGGAAGATGCGCAGCAGCTCGGACGCGAAGAAGGCGGTGCGCGCGTACTCGGAGGTGATCTTGAGCCACTTGTCGTTGCGGGCGAGCTCCTCGCCGCCGAAGATGCGGGTTGAGACGCGGGCGACGATCTTGACCATGTTCTGCTTGACGACGAGGGGCTTCCAATCTGTTTTCCGAATCAGGGCTATGTTCAACGCCGTACTGGAAGCCATCTGATCACGTACCTTGGTCATCGCCAACTATGTCGTTGAGGGCCTTTGTTGTCTCATCAGTCATCGGGACCGTCAACTTGGCTGGTCTCAAAGTTAGCGCAGGTCTTTGCGGGCGTGAGATGTCTGTCTTACCGAGGAACTGGGTGAGTCTCGTTCGGATGACGTGCTTCAGCGCCGGCTTGTACGGGTTCTTCTCCCTCAGCGGCTCGAACCCGGGGAGATATGCGTGGAAGTTCTACGCCAGAATGTGAGCATTCCCATTTCCCAAGACCCCTCTTCTCCAAAAAGACCGACCTTGTCAAGCACACGGTCGAAGCTGAGGTCGTCGTGGTTGCGAATCTCGTTGGCGTACGGAATCGGCGGCAGGATCGTCAACTCGCCAGTCTCGGTGTTGACCTGGTACGGCTCGTCGGGCTTCTGCCTCGCCCTCCAAATCATGACGGCGCGGCCGAAGACGGCGAAATCATATTTGACCTTCAACCCTGTGAAATCCCACCTGGGCTTCGGTGCCAGCATCGGCGCATTTGACGCGATCGACGGCTTCTCCTGCTGGACGGAGAAGTAGAAGATGAAGAGGAGGAATGCTGTGATGAAGTACGGCACCGGCTTCTCGAGCGGGCCCGGGATGGCCTGGAGGGTGTCGAGAGGACCCCATGATTGAGAGTAAAGAGATTCGTTGGCGGTAGCCATGATTCCGGTCAGGATGGTTTCGCCTGTCGAATCTTGGTGGTGTGGACGAGCTTCCCTCTGCAAGGGGGAGTATTGGAAAAGAGAAAGGTACACACACACTCAAAGGAAAGAAAAATAGAGGCACAACTATTTTGGTCTAGAACAGAAGTTGGAAACAAAAAGACGCCAACGGTCAAGGGAAAACAAACGATGGGGAAGCTCGAAGAAAAGGGAAGCCAGAGGTGGACAGCGCGTCGGAACGGGCAGACCTGGACGGACGCATCTTGGCAATGTCGGCGAAACGCCAATCGACGCAAAAATGAGCTCGAGAGCTTCTTGGAGGCTAGCAGACAGACAGACAGAGCCCTTTCCGCCCTCTCTCCGTCACTGTCACCCTCTGCTACTGGGACCGGCGTGCGGCCTGCTGGGCGTTGACAGCTGGATGGACGGTGTTTGGTTTCAAGGAAGACGCAACCGCACAGTCCGCCAAGGTCCTGTCGTTTGTGCTGTCTCGGCGCATGGACCGCATCCTCGGACGATCTCAGCGCCGATCGTGAGAGGAAAGGCAGCAGCAGCAGCAGCTGTGTGAGTGAATGCGAGAGAGATGCACGACGGAAAGTTGGGAAGAGCCGTTGCAGGGATGGAAGTGTGTGTGTGGGCGAGAGAGTGGTGGTGCGCAGGGCACGGGGGGCGCGACCTGACAGAGGCGCCCAGAAGGAGGAACGGGTTGCTTATTCGAGGCCCTTCGGAAGGAAAAACAGACTGATCCCCTACCCCCCAAGTGCAGCAGTGCTTCGCCGCAGCAGCGAGAACGATTGTGCTGTAAGGGGAAAACCTTCGTGGGGGGTCGAGCGGCTGCAGGATTTGGGTCGCGCCACGGACGTCACGGAGATGTGTTGGGAGGAGTCCGGAGTCAGTTCCGGAGACGTGCGGAGAACCCACACGGCCGGGCGTCCGCCGCCGATGATTGAGTGAAGTCCATTTTAGGTGCCAAGATATAACTTTGCGGAATTTCCAGCAGGGCACGAGAACAAACCTGAGATTTTATTCAAACTATCGACTGTTCTCTTCTACAGTCACGGGGAGAGACCAGACCCGTAACACACCTCGACATTGCGCTTCCGCGGCCTGCACTAACACCATTCGTTTTCCTCATTCAGCTGGAGGATGTGAAAGTGGCGTGGCACGTTGTCGGGGGGCTGAGTAACGGAGGAGCAGACGGCCGAGTCATGGCAGGGCAGCTTGGAGGGTGCACACAAATGAACAAGGAACGATGTTGTCTGGAATGATGCTGATGATCTCTGTATCAGAAGCCCTCAGGTAAACATCTCTTTCTTCTTTTCCTTCTTCTCGGCATCGAACAACCGTTCCAACGTCCATGTGAAACATGATTTGTTCGTCCTGTTTCATTGGCGGAACACAGAAAGAAACGGTCGGTGGCTGAAACATGCATGACCTTCTGCACCAATGAGCGAGAGGCAAGATGAAAAACAGGCAATGTTTTCCCTCTCCAGTCGGTCCATCTTCAGACCTGGAATGAAGAGGCCCTTTTCCAATAGAGTGAGTCCAAGCCAGACGGGACGGGACGTTGGTTTGAGTTTGCGAGGCTGATCTCGACGTATGAACACCCTCACAGTGCGAGGAGATACGTATCTCCCGGCTGCCGGTAGGTAACGTTTCTGCCCGCACGTGGGTTAAATGCAACGGCTTTGCAAAGAGTTTGGATATGCTTCCCGAGACAACTTCAGCTGAGTTTGGGGGGTTATCGCCGTTGATGGGATATTCATAGCTCACTGGGCAGAAGACAGTCCGGGACCCCCAGCAATGACCTAATCGACCGAGGATGTTCTGCCCTCCATACCGGATGCGACAAAGGTGGTGGTGTCCCGTGCCTGGTCAGGGCCGATACAGCTTCGGCCAATGATGTGATGCTTCGATGCTCCTTTTGGATAATTGCTAGAAGTTTCCCAAGGTAGATTTGTGTACTCTCTACGTATGGGGAAATATTGCTATACAGTGGATAGGAGGAAAATGGAACGACACAGAAGTAAGGTTTGCTACTCCAAAGTTGTAGCCCACGACAGGCAATCGCTTTGACGAACAGAAGATGGCGTATGAGAAACCACTGCTCTGCTGGAAGAAACTCTGGAACTCGCGATCTAAAATCAGTGACAAATAGTAAGAAAGAAATAAATGGTTCGAATTTAGCTGATACCGGGCCTGGCCTCAAAAAACTCAACAGCGCGTTCAACAGAAAGAATGCGCCATAGATAATCCAAAGGGAAAACGTCTAATTGATTTATGTACGAATTTCTCGAATAAATACCCGCGATAAACACGGTACGAAGTGAAAGGAAGTAAATGGGGTTATGTCGCGTAAACACGAACACGCCTCTTAGTGACACGCAATGCTCCCCAAGGAGACTTCAGACTCGTGAACAGAATTCGCTCAGCAAGCGCTTTGATGATCAAGCCCTTTAACTAGTCTTCAAAGACAGAGAACCACTTCCAGAAAAGCCCTCAAGGGTGAGCATCTGGAACACAGGAGCTCCAGGCTTGAGGCCAAGAGACTTCCAGCCGCTGAAGTGCTTCGCGACATTGATCGTACCGCCAGTGGTGCGCTGGGCGCGGCAGACAGACCAGTATTGATGGAACGAGGTGGCGCTGTAGATCTCGAGGACGTTGGAGTAGTACAGGTCGTAAACATCGTATGTACCGCTGTCGCTGGTCACTGTGCCGACCGGCTTGCCGTTGCCAGGGGTGCCGGATCCGTGGGCATCGACGACGTACCATTCGGTCACCGGGTTGGTCGTCCAGCCGTAGGCAGCCAGGGTCCAGTCGCCGCTGGCCTTGAAAGAGCCGGAGTACGTGAGAGAACTGTGATACAGCATGATCAGCCTTTCAAAGAAAGCACCGGTGAACATCCCAGTTTCCAAGCACTTACCGAGGAGTCGTAGACCTGTAACCCTTGCCAGCCAGGAATTCAGCCTTGCAAGTCCAGTCGAGTCCCCACGCGCCGCTGTTGTCGTCGCTGGTGTACTTGACAGTGGCGCCGTTGGGGCTGTAGACCGAGTAGTAGAACCCTCCGGCGTTGACGCCGTCCTTGCTCGAGGTGAGAGTGGTAGTGCCACGCTTCTCGATGCTGAAACCATCCTCCTCCGCGGTCGAGTTGATCATGTCATGGATAGCCTGGAAGAACTCGGGGGAACGGGCGCGCAGGCCCACAGAGGCGACCTGCTCTGCCGATGCGGCAGGTGCGGCCAAGGCGCCGGCGGCGGCGACAGTCAAGAAGGCGAGGTTCAAGAGCTTCATGGCTGCAAGTGGACGAGTGTGAAGTAAGAGAGCGGATGGGAAAGTGATTGCTGGTGTGCTGTTAACATTAGGTCAACAGCATGCAAAGGGCTTCATATATAGATTTGAAGTTTTGTTTGCTCGTACCTCGGACTACATCACTTCAGTTGATACGAAAATGGGAACCAAAGATTTAACCGCTGCGACAGGGTAATTTGCGCCATCGCATGTTGCAATGTGCCAATTAGATGAATGATGGCCAAAGCAGTAATCCGGACCGTCGGGCCCATGAGCTCTGCAAATATCGGGAAAGCTCCGAGACCCCTGCCGTGTGTGGTTCGTGATATGGCGCTTGCTATCAAAACAAGCTTTCGCTTCAGGCTGGGGATTCTTGTCATTTCCAATGCCAAGCCTCTCTGTGAACGCTCACTCAGGTGATTTGGACCAAAAGGAAGAAAGTCGCATGGTTGGCATTCTTGTGGCCAACGGCAACGTCACGAACACTTCTAGCCCCAAGCTCTTCCTTGCCTAGCCGTTTAATCGACAACATGACGAAACCTAACACGGCTTCTTCCAAGGATATTCCTCTCCTAACAGAACGCAAGCCGCCGGTAACCGGTCTCCTCCTTGGTTTCTGAGAGATTAACGGGGATTGTTTGTGGAGATGGCCTGTAGCCACAAGGGATGCGAGGAGCTCGCGATGTTCGGTGTCGGTCTTGAGTAGAGCAATCTTTTCACAGGACAAATAATCACGTGTGATAACAGGATAAACTTCTCCGCGGAATCGGTGACGTGATAATCTTGGTGGCACAAACACTGACATTGGTAATTCGGCGCCGCTTGGTGAAATGAATGTTGAATTCGTACACCTGGGCGCCCGTAGCTTAAAGTGAATTTACAAAATGAGAGACACCGTCAGAAGTCGTCTGTCTTCTCATATTGGAAGGCTACACCAAACATGAATGCTTACAGCTTTGGCCATTGAACGCGATCAGCCTTGCCGCAAATCGCTTCGCCCTTCTGCTGCATACCATATTGCTTCGCCCAACTGTCCTTGTCCACCCAGCCTCCATACCAGCCCCCGCAATTTTTATTGATGTAATCAAGGAATTCGTCGAACTCGCCACCACTACATGGGTTGTTTCCTCCCCACGAGCATGCAAACGCGACTTGCTTGCCACTTACGGCATACTGAAGACCGCCGCCAGGAATGACAGCTCCGCCGTCGCAAAAGTTCTTGAAGTTGGTTCTGACATTCTCCCAGTCGCCTTGGTTTACGGATTCACGGTAGCAGCCAAACCTCGTGATTGGCATGTCTCGGCGGGTTGGCCCAATTCGAGGCAGGAATTTGGTGACGACAGAAACTTTGATGTCGTCGATTCGAGTGACATTAACGAGACCACCTTCACTGAAAGATGCAGTGAAAATGCCGTCGCCCAAGTCATCAATCTTGTAACCGTCGTTACGTGGCATCGTGATCGAGGCTCCCATTACGAGAGCAACAGTGGCTCCTGACAGCAGAAAAAAGTGGACTGGATGTTGAGGTGTAGAGTTGATCAATAGGTTTCAGGGGAGAATCAAAGGTATGTTGCAGTGTCTTTAGTCTTATGTTTAATGAACGTGAACATCTGTAAAAGAGGGGTATTTGAGGCAGTCTTTATTGGTCTATTTATGTTTGAACACTTGGTTCTTGTTGTTTGACCTCGCTTACCATGGGGGTTGGTAAGATCCATCCGAAGTAACACATGCAGGTCCAAAACGCAGTTTACAGCCTACTTCTTAAGTCCCACATTGCCCCTTGTCCAACATTACGACGATGGTGAACTCGTTGCACTGAGACTTATTGTCGCTTACAGCCGTCGGATGGAGCGTATGCCCTGGCGGATGGAGCGTATGGCCTGGAAGGCACACTCATTGGACTAATACACATGTAGACCAAGTGGCTCCTACGAACATCTTGATTATCTCCCTCTTTTGCCATGACAATGACCGTCGACCACTCGATGTCTGAAAGGAAAGGATAATAGGATAGGCCTTTCACTTGTGATGAAAATATTCATGCACGGCCAGTGTGCAGACGTAAGAGAAGGCTTACGGCTTCGTGGAATGGCACACACACCACACAACTCAGGTTGATATAAAGCCTTGTCTAAGAATCAGAACACAATGTGAAGATCATACGAAAAGTCGAACCAAGATGCATAAGTACTTTCCAAAAGCGGCGATGCACCAGGTCTCAAGTCGGTCTCAGCAACAGTACGTTTCACTGTGCAACCTTTGGTCCGTGAGAGGGCTTTGCAAAGACTGCTTGGGCATGAAGTTATTAGTATGACTGGATACTGAATCATGCAATAACAATGGCCAAGGCGAGCGATGGTGTTGTCTTCACCTCAATAGGGCGAACCGGAACTATCCGGTGGTATTGACTCAAACTTCAATCCATTTGCGTGTTGAGTACACCCATAAAGGGGACAAGGTAAGTCCGAAATGCTAGTTTCAAAGTCTATTCGGGTCATTTTGACTAAAGCTAAACATGAGGCTTCCGACGTGGGCCGATTCTGCACTGAGCTTGTATCGAGGCTATCTTCTGATGTGCCCATTTTAAACATGGCTAATAAGATCCTGACATATTCAGGATATTGTACCCAAGTTGCTGCGCTTGGAGCTCACGGTCCACACCGAACATTGCATTGTGAAGATCTATCCTCAAGTACCAGAGTTAATGATGAAAGATGCGACCTAAACCACTGGGAGCCAGAAAAAGAAAGCAGACCGAGATAAAAGTGGGTAAGATCAGGCAACAGATAATGCTCGATCTTGATTTGCTGCGCAACGATAATCACAGCATGCAGACTTGAAGAGCCAATCGCACGTATCGATTGCTGACGGGCTTGCAGGCTGACCACGCTAGCTGCAAAAAGCGCTATCTGCGATTTGCAGGATGACGAGTGAATTGCCTGCATTTAAGCGACGCCGTAGCGGGGTTTTGGTTTTGCAGAACACGACGAGTACACTCCGTTGCGTTGACAGCGTCCACCCCGCAGTTTTTAGCCCGAAAAAGGCAAAAAAAGGGGCTTTTTACCGAAAAACCACTAAATCGCCCTAAACTTCGTCTACTAATACCTCTATACGTACGCAATACGCGTAAATAAAAAATATATCAATCGATAGCCCTCGATTAGGTGATTATAATAATATCTTTTTTATTCTTACGCATTACGTACGCATAGAGTTATCTAAGTGTGAAGTTAAAGCTAATTTTAAGGGGTTTTTTAAGCAGATAGTTCAACGCAACACGCCGGGGGTTTCGTTTTTTCTTTTTAGCGTTATGTTAAGTGTCTACTAACCTAGAAACCCCCTTAAAACCCCCTAAATTTCACACTTAAATAACTCTATGCGTATATAATGCGCAAGAATAAAAAAGATATCATTATAATCACCTAATCGAGGGCTATCGATTAATATATTTTTTATTTACGCGCATTACGTACGCATAGAGTTATTAAAACGTGAAGTTTAGGGGGTTTTAAGGGGTTTCTAAGCTAGCGGAAAATTTTCCTTCCGGGTCAAACTTAGGGGCGGACGCTGTCAACGCAACGGAGTGTAGTTCATGTTTCCGCTTCCGAAGAGCATGCCAAACCATCGCCATGTGCAACTACATGTGTGCATAGTGCTACAACCATCGAGACCGCCCGCAAGCACATCGACTCTTCTGTTTCTCCTTTTCAGAGACTAATTATTAACGTCGTCCAATTCAATTCCAGTGGCGTAGAGCAGCGCTCGAGAAATATACCAGCCCGACCTACTGGAGACGTGTGTTTGACGCCCAGGCTGCTCTCATCAGCAATATCATAGGATGCGCTTGCTTGATGCGAGAACCCTTCGGGTTCTTGAGTTCAACAACGACGCCATACCGCCTTACGCCATATTGTCACATACTTGGGGAGAGGAAGAGATCACCTACCAAGATCTCAATCCTCAATTGGACCAGATCTACAGTCAAATCAAGGCAATGGGGAATTTTCTTAAGGCAAAGAACGGATACCAATTTTCCAGCCAGGTGAAGACGAAGAAGGGGTTTCTCAAGGTTGAACAAGCAGCCAAGCGAGCGCTTGCTGACAGATACGATTACATCTGGATCGATACCTGCTGCATCGATAAGTCCTCGTCTGCCGAACTCTCCGAAGCCATCAACTCTATGTACCAATGGTACCAGGGCGCTGGCATCTGCTATGCCTTCTTATCTGACGTCACTACGCGCAACAACGGAAGAGCATGGCAAGAGGCCACGATTAGAAGTTCTCGTTGGTTTACGAGGGGATGGACACTGCAGGAACTCATTGCGCCAAGGAACATGCAATTTTTCTCGGCTGAGTGGGATTTTCTCGGGAGCAAAGTTGGATCTCAACTCAATACCTCATCTAACAACCTCATCGGGCCTCACATTCTGGGAGAGATTACCGGGATTGATGAACGAGTGCTTGACGGCAGCTTGGGACCCCAGGATTTGAGTGTTGCCACGAGAATGAGTTGGGCTGCTCTCCGACAGACAACCAGGCTCGAGGATTTGGCATATTGCCTATTGGGAGTATTCTCGGTAAACATGCCCCTCCTTTACGGAGAAGGGTCACGCGCCTTTGTTCGATTGCAAGAGGCCATCATGAGGGAAACAGACGATCAGTCAATCTTTGCTTGGACAAAGACTGATTTGCTACCCTCGAAAAGCACAAATACTGAGGATCTTTTGTCAGGTCTTTTAGCAGACTCTCCCATGCACTTTTTGAAGAGCACGGGAATCAGACCGCTGCCGCCACTGCTTTCTGGGGAGACGATGCCAACAACAATCTCCAACCAAGGCCTCAATCTCAAGCTATATCTTCGACCAATTAACGGGGAGGATGGCATACAGTCATCAGACAGGTTTCACGCCATTCTGGACTGCAGCAGAATAATACAAGGTGTTGAAAGCTCTCCCGCCATCTACCTGAAGCGCCTTTGGGGGAATCAGTACGCACGTATACTGCCTGAATCCATTGAACTCCTCAAGCCTCCCGGCCTTGAGGTACCATTGGCCGAGGAAGGTTATAAGACCGTCAACGTCCGCCAGAACCCTGTACACTTGGTACCGGACTTCAATGTCAACCCGGATTCTCTTGGGCCCCGCCGTGTAAAAGCCGCCTATCCCCGCAATCGATGGGATTCATCTGCCTGGATTTTGAAATCGACGTATGGTCAAGTCGGAGGTGTCATGGGAATCATCGAGCTCGAGGACCTTCGTTCCGAAAGGAATTCTGGTACGATCACCGTCTTCGTGGGGATTGAGGCGTCGAGTGGAGCGCATTATAAACCGTGGTGTATGCCTGTAAAACGGCAAGGAGGATTCTCCATGAGATTTCTCTTCGAGATGGCCGATGAATCGGCGCGACACGGAAGACTTCTTCCAAATACCTTTGGCTCCCCAGAGAACGTATGCGTGGCACAAGTTTCCGAGATTGTCAGACATGGGCGCAGCTACGTTTCACTCACAGTCGAGGACGTTCCAGAGCTTGGCTACTATCATTTTCAACACGATCCTGCTCTCAACTTTGCACCTGCGCGAGAGGTCGCTGGACCTGTGGACTGTGCCCGAAAGCTTGCAAAAGTCCTTCAGCCTTCTACAGTCGAGGACTTTGGGGCTTCAAGCCTTTTCGAGGGATCCTTCGTTGGCAAACGTATCGTAAGGGTCCGGCCGGCGGAGCAGTTGCTGAGCTACACCGACGATCTGCTCCAAAGGGTTCCTGATCAGATTGAAACCGATATGAAGGAAGACATGTTCGATATAGAGGACCAGCAAAAGGCCGAAAGATTGCTGGAATTCTGTCGTGATGGGGAGCTCGACATGGTCAAACAAATGGGCTCAGTCAAAACCCTTCTGGGAGTCAAAACTATCAACTTCTTTGGATTCACGCCGCTTCATTGGGCTGTTTTCGGGGGCTACGTGAAACTCGCCGAGTATCTGCTGGAGCAGGGCGCTTCCATAATGCCTGGCACAGAGTTTAAACCTGCCAATACGGCTCTAGCACCTATTCACCTGATCGCCATACTCGGACAAGACGAGTTTTTGGGCATTTTACAGAAATACGTGGATATGGAACCTAGATGGCTGGAGACAACAACTTCGCCGTGCCTTGACTTTTTGTCACACTTAGTGGTTATGTCAGACAGGTTCTCGGAAGGTCTGCTGCGAGCATTCACCTCTAGGAGAACATCCTTAACCTACTATGGTAACGACGCCAACATGCTAGGAGAGCGTCCAATGCACAGGGCTGTAGCGACGCGCAACAGCCAAGCCTTGATATTCTTGCTCAAGCAGTGTAACGTGGACATTAATTTGAACATGTTCACTGCCAACGTGTTCATGGCGAAGTGGGCATTCTTTGATCAATGCCAGAGGTCAGTGGTCTGGCACGCCGCTGCATCAGGGTTTGCTGAGGGTATACGTTTGATGTATCACGGACTGTACATCATACGGGACTATCTGGATCGTCCAGACGACATGGGAGTCTCTCCTATGCATATTGCTTGTAGACAAGGCCACGATAAGGTGGTGGAGATGCTTATTTCTCTTGGTGCAAAGGCGAACGGAGAAGCGACGTTGGGACTCACGCCTGCTCACTTCGCGGCCTTTTTCGGCCATGCTGCCTGTCTTCAGAGGATGGCATACCATGGTGTAGACCTGGATACTCCGGCTATCCACCTTCATGGACTTCGGCCACTCCATCTCGCGGCTCTTCGCGGGCAGCTTGAGTGCGTTGAAGTTCTTAGTAGGTCCGGAGCGAATCAACATTCTCTAGCGTATGCCGTTTTTAAGACTCACAAGGAGTGGTGGGAGGAAGGGAACGTTGATGATATGGAATGGACCGAGTTAGATTCTCCTATGACACCAATGGGCATGGCGTTCTTGAGAAATCATTCCCTTGTAGCCCAAAGGCTAGCACATTGGAGGAGCAATACTGGAAAGGATTCTGTGCCCCATCGGAAGCAGGGGGAGAACCATGCAGTGCGTGCCGAGTTGCCGGCATAGTTAATTCGACTAGTTGTCTTTGTCCCAATCCAGATTTTTGCTCGGGGTTCATGACTGACAGCACGTGTTAATTTTCATGTACTATATGATATCTCGAACTGCTTTCGAATCTGAAACATATCACTTGCATCAACCTTCGAGATACTCTTACTAGACGTGTGCGTTAACATGTCTGAAAATGGATATCGTGATTCTTCAAATCCATCTCAAAAAGGGTCGAGGACTCGCAACACATACATGATATTGCATATAGTAAGAGTATTTGTTGAAGAATCACAGCGAGGCTCCCAGGCTCAAAAGCTAGATCCCGTGATGCCGTGTCTGATGATATTGACCTCCATTCTTCAAGGGGGGGGGTTCGGGTTGCCCATTTTTGAAAAAGAAGTGGGTACTCGGGGGTACTTAATTTGACCTTACTTTTGGATTGCGAGCGAACCCACAACTTCGGGAAACAGTAGCGGTATCTCCATCCATTCCAGCCCACACTAACTAATATCAGTCACATCACGCTCACCGTGTGAGAAAAGAAGAAGAACCACGCGGCTTTACTGTCTTTCACACTTCATAGCATGCGTGTTTTTGTTGAGCCCGAGAACATCGTCAATCAGAACTTTCATCCAGGGGCAAGAAGCTCGAGCCACGTTGGACCCATCTCTCCCTGGGGAAGATGGTAGAGGGGCTATTTGCCACCAGTTTGAATCCATTAGTAACGCGAATCCTTGAGATTCGGATTCAATGTATCTCAAAGTTGTTATATTTTCGCAAATTTCTTGGAATCAAAACTTGCGCAGACATGTCACACTCATCGAAGATTGCCGCTACACGCCTTTGTTTCTTCCTGACGCCCAACACCCATCCGCAACTTCTCACCACCCTTCTCGCTGACGAGGCCATATCTTATCCTCTCCTTCATCACTGTTTTCGATAGTTCAACTCCGGTGAGTCGATCCGATTCAGCCTCCAGCTCGATGTGCCTTGAGTCCCTGAACACGGTCGAATCGTAACCCAGGATCTCTGGAGTCTGGGCCCAATGAGCAAGTACGACACTGAGAATACCTGCCGCGAGTAATGCAGCGCAGGAGGTCATAGAGAGAGCAGCCCAGACATCCGACACGCCGAAAACAACCACATCCCTGCTGGTTGTTGCTGATACTGAGATGTTCGGCTCGAATAAAGAAACCCCACTGCATCCCTCAGTAATATTGAGAGACAACTGCGTCAATTGGTAATAGGAGTTGAGGAGTTGGCCTAAGCGAACTCCCAAATCCCTGGCCGTGACATTCTCGAGGAACGCCCGTTCCTCTCCGTTAATGCTCCGAAGACTAGGATCTTTGATGTAGTAGAGGGATGTTTCTGTTTGAAACGACACATCCCCGCCCACTGCAAGAGGCAGCTCCTGGGATATATCGTGGAAAATGACTGGAAATGATAACGGCGTTATACCTTCCGGGGGATGCATTTGCTGGGAAGGACGTTGGGCAACGACGGAGCAGTTCTGTCGTGTAGTCGTGAATCGATCACATGTGACACGAGACTCAACATATGTTTGAGTCACATCACAATATCCAGTAAAGTAAAGTTGTGGTGCGTGAAAACTGTCCTTTCACTTGGCTTGGAACAGCAGCCTCGTAGGACCAGCTTCGATCCCTTGTTGATCTTGGAATAGAATGAGTCTGTGAAGGTCTTGGGCTCGCGAGCCCTTGGCGCCTTTTCGAAATTCAGTGAAATTGGTATTGTTACCCCCGAACCAAAGCGGATCGATGAATCGATCAAGCCCCAAACTCCACGTTGTGTCAGTCGAACTGATATTTCTGCTCGACGAAACGCCATGCCACGTGCCATTTGGAAGTTCATAAGTATGTCGCGCTCCCGATATGCTAATGAAATCGGAAAAGGCAGACTGAAGTAAGTCGACTCTCATCATATCACGATAAGACCCATCTGGCTCTGAGAGTGGACTGGTGGTGATGTTGCTGCATTGTAGTTGGATGTAGCTTGACTCAAGCGAAAATGTTGTTTTACCGTCATAGTTGAGGTCGCTGAGAGGCACACCAGCCAAGGACGAATAGTCGTCTGTGGTCAGATCTTGCGGTATGTCTCTCCAGTCACCACTAGAATCCGGGCGGAGAAATGGGATCTTGACGTTTCCCCACGGGTCCATGGTATCAAGTTTGATACTTTCGGGCGTTGAGACAAGTGTTGAGTATAATCCCGCAATAGCACGAAGCCTCGCCTTCAAAATAGAATTTGAAGGACCGCCAGCCCCCAAGCTAGCCCAATCAACTAGTTGACTTCGAGCGCTGCTGTCAAAGTATGTGGTACGACTGGTTCCGAGGTCAAGATTATGGCGTAGTTTTGACATCCGCAACAGTGATTGAGTTCCCAGAGGAGAGAGGGCCCATAATGCCAGAAGTGCCAATGTAAGTCGGTTCCAAGAATGAAATTGAAGCAATGTAACGATGGCCCCCCCCGACAGTTCTGCTACCCATAAGTTGCTCTAATGAACCCACGGAGGCACCGCGCTCAAGTCTCCAACGAGCCCCTTCGGACATGAGGCGGCCTACGACAGAGGCAAATACGATTGGTAGTACTGTCGCCATCTAGAACAAACCATTAAAGCCAGCACTACTGTTTATGAAAAGTGACTCACAACCGTGATCGCATTCTGCCAAGAGGCATGAGAGTCAGCGATGACCCGAGAGCCTTTCAAAGACCAGATCAAGATCACAAAAACGACCAGGCCGAGGGGTAGTAGTATGGCGATGCAGTCGGCGAGTATTGTGGCGAGTTCAAACTTTCGTTTTGGATACTGTGCTGGAGATGTTAGCCCATCGTCTGCCGCGACCGGCTTGTATTCCCCACAGCCATCATCGCGTTCGTTCGATGACGACATGTGCAACTCTTGAGCGCCTCTTCGGTAATCTGCAAGGACTTCAGTACTCTGTGAAGTGACTTGCAATGCTTGCATATTGATAGATTCGTGCGAAACCGACGCTGTGGACGCGCAGCGGGTTGAGACTGGAGACGGGGAACGATCGGGTCTCCCCATCGCAGTTGTCTGATTCGGATGTTCATCCATCTCGAAAGAATGTGTGAAAGACGTGAATGAGGAAAGAAATGAATCAGAATCAAACAGAACAGACACTTGAAAAATAAGTACGTGGCTCAGCTGTGCCGCTCGTCAGTAAGCCTGCGTATGCGAACCAGAAGGCAGCCATTAGCGACGTGCTACAACGCGGATGAGACATGCAGCCAAGATTTTGGATCGGTAAGGCAGACTCATGTCTGGGACGGCTCATTGGTCTTAGAAACGCCACTAGGTCATACGGCAGCACACCCACTCGACTAAGGATCGACTCGGTGAGCGCGTTTAAAAACACCATCTCGCTAAACGGTCGAATAAAACAAGACCATACACGGACGGAAAATAGTCAAAAGCTCATGGCTATCGAGGGTCTGAGAGGTACAAATTTTAAGAGTCTTCGACGATAGAGACGTTTGGTGGAGGTTGAGACGTGGGCTTTGAACAGAAGTAAACGTTTTGAGAATTTGACAAATAGTCTATGTAAAAGTTTCGACCAGAATATGGCTACATCAGAAGCGAAGTGTTTGGTTTTGTTCTAAATATCTCCTCCCTAGTGCATGTGCTTGTTATGAATGGCCCTTCCGAATCTCATAGGACGGCTGCGAAGCTGTCTCCTGGCAGGGGAAGCAGCAGGCGCAGCAGTAGAGTTGGAGATCGGGCACGAGCTGTGCATGACACCGCGGCCGTTGGTACCAACATAGACAACGTTGGCCTCGTTGGCGGAACCAACAAGAGCAGCGCCGTCAATAGCACCAAAGCTGTAGGAGCCCTGGATGTCGACCCAGGTAGCACCACCATCAGCGCTGCCGTACAGCTTCTTGCCGTCGGAGCCGTTGCCAAAGACGTAAAGGTTCCAGGCGGTGCCGTCACCCTTGCCGACAGAGACAGCGTGGGCGTTGGAGGGGCTGGAAGACAGGGGGGAGAAGGTCTTTCCGGAGTCGGTGCTGTGGAAGATACCGGCATCGGTCGAAACCCAGATCTCGCCGGCCTGGGTAGGGTGGGCAGCAATGTGGCGGATCTCGGTGACGTTGCCGAGCGGAGCTTCAGTGAAGGTAGCGGCGCCGTCGGTGGAGACGTAGAAGGTGGACTTGGAGCCGGCATAGAAGACGCCAGTCGCCTTCTTGTCACTGGCGATAACGCTGCTGGCGGGCAGGGTGACGTTCTCGAGCTTGCCCTGGTTGCGGGAGGCAAGAACGCCCTCGTTGAGGGTAGACCAGAGGACGACATCGCCATCGGCAGAGTAGGCAACGGTACCATCAGCGGCAGTGGTGCCAGTAGCGTTGACGACAGTCCAGGTAGCACCGCCGTCGCTGGAGAGAGCGAGCTGGGGAGTGCCGGTGACCTTACCGATGCGAGCAACCTTGGTGACGTCGTTGCCGGCGAAGTCGACGGAGACACTGCTAGCCCACCAAGGGTTAGTCCAGGCAGTCTGAGGAGCCTTGCTGAGATCAGCGACGGAGTCGTAGGTGAAGCCGTTGTTGTCGAGAGTGGCCATGAGCAACTCGGAACCGCCAGGGGCAGAGGCCAGCGAAGAGATAGCCATCTCCTCAATGCCAGAAGCAAGACTCTCGATGGTGATAGTCTGGTTCTTGTCCCAGTTGGTCAAGTCGTGGCCGCCGTAGATGGTGAGGCCGGTGCCGTAGAACCATCTGTCGCTATCGTAGGGGTCGATCTCGAGGGACTCAATCATCCAGCCAAGCTTCTTGGTGTCGATGTCGAGGAAGTTGGTCTCGATCCAGGGGGCGTTCTTGGCGCTGATGGTGTATTGAGGCGCCACCTTGCCGTCAGCTCCCCAGTTCCAGATCTTCTTCCAGGTCGCACCGGAGTCAGTGGAGCGGAAGAGCTGAGCATCGGGATACCAGCTGTTGAGGGTAGCAACGACGATGGTGCCGGGCTTCTGCGCGTCGACGGCAAT